TTATACTGCTATGGATGATGAGATGGACACAAAGAAGTTTCATCTCGTCCTGCTACAAAAAAAAAAAGAGAAAAAAATTCAACAAATAGCAAAAAAAACTAGCCTTTTGCAATGAGTCCAGTATCTCGATTGCTTCTCGCCGGACGTCCTCTGATGCCTTTCCCATCATAATTAATTGCATTTTACGCCTCAACCTGACCACGTCCACCAAAGGATCTCGCACTCGACCTAGTGGTGGTGGCAGTGGTGGTAGCGGTGGAGCAGAACGTCGCTCTCGTGGACGTACTTGCCGAGCCACTGGTGCTGGACGTAGTGGCTCGGAATTTCGGCGTTGCTGCTCGAGTTGTCTCAGGCGCCAATTCGCAAAACTGTCGTTAGTTGGCGGCGTATGTCCTTGATTTTCTCCTGGCAAAGCCGCAAGGGCAGTGCCATCATGTCCTGGTGTGTGTTCTTCCTCAGACAAATTCATTTGCTCTATGGGCAATGGAGCCTGCTGAGGATTTTCTGCTGGTAATGACCAATGCTCGAAATCTTCGTCTAGTTCCTCATATAAATATGGCGTAAATTGTAAATTTCTTCCGCTTGTTTCAATGATTTCATCCCAATTAAGATTCTTTGCCTCTTCGAAGCTTGCAACGAGTTTCCTTGCTCCCGATGAAGCCTGTTTCGAGTCTTCTTCGCTCGGCAAATGATCCGTCAGCTTTCTGCTCGCCATTAACTATAAAACAATATGTGTTTTTAAAGAAGGAATTTTTTGTTCTTATTCCGTGGAAAAAACAAGAAAAATCGCTTCGACGCAAACGCGATGTTAAAACTGAATGATGTATTACATCGGCAGTATTTCATGTACGCTGATTCTTTTGCATAACATTTTATTTCCCTAGTTAGTGTTGGTTATTACCTAACCACGGCGTAATGGGCTAGAAGTTGTCGTGCAGTACTGAAGGTTACTGAAGATACTGAAGGTCGTGACTGAAGGTTAATTCTGCCACCGGATCAACCAATCCTTCTACGATTCGTTTCGATGGTAAATTGGTACTGGCATACGCCAACTAGTCAAACTGGCCATCAGTTTGCTTGTAAGCAATCCTCAGAAGGGAGAGCCATCGAAAGCCTTGCCAGCGTGTGGCTGCTGTTGGCATTTGTTACCAGTCGGGTTGCTTCCCGAATATTTCCGCCCCTCACTGACAGCGAAATACGGGTAAGGGGGTTCGACTTTTGATTATCTACAAGTAAGGAGTTTATAACCTG